TATACTGACCCCCTTATTTGAATAAATACCTCTCAGAAATAAGAGTACATCATGCCATTTGTAAATGTATAAGTAGCTATCTGCAAAAATACCTGCTTTTCTTGATGGTCAAAGGAAGAGCATTCATTAATCCAATATTTCCAAGTAAGTTCTATGGGAAATTAAATCATCAGTGGTTGAATACACAAAATTCATGGGTGAATAAAGTTAAAATTTTTACTGAAATATGTCTGATATTCTTTAAATGTTAAATTTATTGGTAATATTTCTTCTTTAATTTCATAGTGAATAGGACTTTATTGTTGCATAGTATATTTTAGAAATGTTCTCCAAAAATGTATAAACCTTGTGTATTGGATGATTGTATAATGCTATTATTGTTAATTCATTTCTATTTTATTATTCATTTAATGTTGAACAGTAAATTATCACATTCATATATTAAATCTTCAAACAGTATCATCAATCTAAAGGAATTAAGTGTCTAGGTCTTGTAGCATTGATTCTTTAAATGTGGCCTATGTACCAGTAACCTCTGGTGGGAACTTATTAGAAAAATATATTCTCAAACACATTTTCATCTGGACTCAGTGAATCACTTGTGTTGGGATGGGACACCTCAATCTGCTTAACAACAAAAACAACAACAACAAAAAAAAACCTTTCAAGTACAGTGGATCCTTGATTTATGAACTCAATTTGTTCCAGAGGGCCGGTTGTAACTCAAGGTGGTCAATTGCCTTCAAAGTCTCTCTCCTGTATAGTTTTAGGACACACTTTCTTCTAAGCAGATCTCAGTGTCCTTGGAGAAATATTGGCCCAGGATTTCGCAGTTAATCCCACACAGGAAACAATATTTAATGATCCTTCTGTACCTCTTTAAGAGTTAAATCTATATATGAGATCATCTTGAAGCACAAGCGGCTGGCATTGTCATAACTCAAGTCTTTGAATGTAAGATAAAGCTAAACTTCCAGTTGTAACCCAAGTTGTTTATATGTCAGTCTGGTTGTAACTCAAGTGTTCACTATATTAAGATTAGAATGGAAACTCATATCTCAATGGAGTAGAAAAGGCAGTTTTTTAAAATGAGATTTTTTTTACCTCTGTATTAGTCAAGTTCAGAGAAAGCACTCTGAAGGAGTTCAGCTAGCTAGCAAAACAACATATTGAGAGAATAGAGCTCTTTCCCAAAAGGAAGAAAAAAAAACTGGCCCAGTAAAGCAAGTAACACCCACTGGGTGTTTGAAGGGCAGAGATCAATGAGAGACCTCAGAGCAGATGTGGTAAGAAATGACTGCAATTCAAGGCAGAAATCAAGTGCTGGGTAATATGGGAATGGGAAAAATAGTATTCAGCCTTAGAAGAACCAGGATCTTAGAAGCATTTCAATGTAGGTAGTGCTCAAAATTCCAGGGAGCAAAATAAAACAAAGAAAATTTTGTGACAGGAACAATGCTGAAATAATGTGGCTACAAATGAGCACTTGGACAGTTTCAGTGATGATTAATCCAAGGTTCTGAAGTTGTACTTTTCTAAATGAAAGGCAATTAATGGTTCCATAATATGGAATATGTGTTTTCATGAAAATGCTTGTGACTTCAGAAATTAAACAGATGCAGAGGTAGGGAGCTGGACAGGGTCATAGATAAGCTGATCTCATATGAGCCTTGGATTCCTCAGTTAAAAAATAAATTATCAACCTTGGTTAGATACGATGGGCTTGTAGAGAACAGTGAGTTTACTACTGTTTGCTTCTCTCCACTGCTTCATTACATGTATTCTCTGATTTAATTAAACTTAATTAAAGTGTATTGATGGCTCACAAAATGCAAAGGTTTTGGATGTAGATACTACATTCTCTCCCCTTTTCCAGTTTTCTGACATTGCCCTGTAGGTCTTCACTCAGTTCAGGGTAAAGCATGGCCTGAGGCCAAGGAGGGAATCTTCCTACAGCCTTGCTTCCAGTCACACTATTTCATTACTGAGTAAAACTATTGATGTACTATAATTTCATCTGCTTTTTTACTTTAGAAAGTACTTGGCATTCTGAAAGAGATGGCTCTCATTGTTTATATTCTCGATCACAGACAGTCATACATAAAATACCGTGAGTAGAGCTACAATAGGGTGGAAATTTAAACCAGTTATTTCAGTATTTATATCAATCAATCCTCTGCCCTAAGATATTTACTAATTGCTTTTTGCAGTAAGTAAGAGCAAACTTAGCATTGCAAAAGTATGTATGAAAACGTTAATCAGAATGTTTGGATAATTGACTGTTTCAATCTATATTGTGTCACATTCATAATTACTTTTAGGCATAGTTTTTATGCCTTCCTCTATAAATACTCCATGCAACTCCTAAAATTTGAAATTAGAACCTGCATAACCTTCAGAGGTTCAATAAACATTACAGTATAAAATCAAAGTTCTAATTAGGAGAGTGTTGAAATATAACTTTCTTTGAGAGGGTTCTTTACCATTTCAATATGAACATAAGTAGAATCCATGTAATTCCTGGCTTTTTACAAGATAGTGAAAAATATTTATATTTGCTAGAATCACAATTAAGATTTACAAATTTGTGAAAGACCATGGAGAAATCAGTTTTTACAGTTAGATACATGAATGGCATAGAAATGGAATAAAGGTGACCTGCACAGACAAGTATGCTGTCTACTGTTCAAAGACCCAGACAACGATTTAACCTAAATATTAACCAGAGGAAGCCTTGCATCCTGCTTGGTTATATCAAGGCTTCTGCATAAAAATGACTGATCTGGGGTTTAAGAGATCAATAATCCAATAGCAGGTTCTCCAGTCCTTTGTTGAAATATGACTTTCTCCTTAAGATGGTGTTTTCCCTGAAAACCTTCTTGACACCTCATATAATATCGTGACTGATATTTTCTACTAAGAACTTTTCCAAGCTTATGTAAAATTGCTTTTGGACTTATGGTTTTTTAAATTATTAAATCATCAATAGATTCCAAAGAAGTATAAACTTGTTCTGGTACAGGCAAGTAAATATTAAAGAAGTTCTTTGAATATTTTCATATTCACACGCTATCTGTTTTGTTCACAGTTTACTGTTTCATATTTGGGCAACATTAACCAAACGTGGAGGTTTTAAATAACTGGAGGAATGTTTACCTATTTAATACGTTTTTGGTTAAAAGAAGCAGAAATTCACTGGAGCTGAGTTAAGCCAACTTGGATCAAGGTATTTTCGATGTGGCCTCCATTAAATCAGCTCTAATGGGCATGAGTTGTGGGCGATGGGGGAAAGATGAAGGGGGTAGAAAGAGTTAGGAACATAATTACAATTTGGAAAGACACCCTCAGGAAATCTCTAATTATGAAAACACACTTCAAATCTATTTAACAAATTGTGAAAGGAAAAGCCTCGACACTAAAAATCTTCTTAAAATTTTATATCATGGTCAATCCATTCCACTGGCATGACTATAACATATGAAACCTCGATTGCCAGTATGGAAAGTAAAGTTATCAGAACTTGAAAACAGTGACCATTTCCAATATGTGAAAATAAAAACCTTGATTTAATTTTCTTTTAACACGACATCATTTTTTTTTCTCAAAAATCTTTCAAAAGTGGGCGGGGTCTTTCAAGATAGCATTTCAAGTCTAATTTAAAATAGTAGTAAAGCAGAATCATTTGAGAACAAAACATGCTTGGTACTTTCTGCTAGTTCATTTTTGTATGAAGATATTTGTAATTCTCTTGAATTACTATTATTTTCATAGAAATTGGAATTAAATAAATGTTAACTGTCATTTTAGTTCCTATGAGCAGCCAGGAGTACCCGATAGACACCCTTGAGAATGTAAAACTTGTTCTAATAAATGATGATATACATTTCGTACTTTACTTTTGTGTTAAAAATAAAACTAGACAAGTCAGACTAGTTACTACATCAGGGAACTGTCCATAGTAAATCATTGAATTGCTAAGATATGGACTCACAGCTCAAAGGAAGTCAAGAAATAAGAACTGAACTGAGATGTATATTATTATCTCCTTTCATTAGGGAAAATGAGTGAATTGTGCTTCTTTCTAGATAGAAATGAATGCCCATACGGTTCTTTCTCCCCCGTAAGACCATGGAAACTATGCATGAATATTAGGTTTTTCTTGTGTTGCATGATATCATTAGGTCATATTTCTATGAAAAAGAGTTTGTAAAACATTACTGAATAGGCCACATCTCATCTTTCTTTTCAAACCTTTTAAGGCCTCCTTACATAACTATGGAACCCTCAGAAGGCACTTGATTCCTATTGATTTGCCCTGATACAGACACATTGCACAAATGTAAAGCACTCATCATGAGGTGGGCTGTGGTGTACCAACCACAAAATAATGTATTTATTTTTCAACATTGTCTCTTTTATTGATAAAAACTACACAAAAGCTAATGATAATTAATTTAAAAATCAATGTTACACATGATCTCCTATTTAGAAATGTGTCAGCTCTTTCTTTAGCCAACTGCATGGCCATTGTTCTTATATATCCGTTGTCCAGGTGACAAAAATTCTGCTTATTTTCTCCATCCAAGATCTTCAGTCTCTCTTCTCAACTTCCTTAATGAGGGCTGCTCATGGAGTTAAAAAAAAAAATCCTAATATCATATACAACATATGTCTCGAAGCAGCATTCACCTAGATTTATTGAACTTTTATTCCAGTAATTTTACCGAACTCTGTGGCCAACTTTCCTTATTTGTGGTCTGTGGTAAAGCAAATTTTCTTTTGGTACAATGGAAGCTTGAATGCCTACATTTAGATTTAAGAACAGAATCACTAGACCAGGAAATAAAATAATAATAATAATAAACCAAACAAGATCAAACAACATTTTTTTAGGGAAAAAGAAAATGAAAGCAATGGAAATCAAGTCTGTGAGTGTTACACGCACTTGACAAAGAAAACTAATGTTTCCCCCACTTCCCACCCACCCCTTATATTGCCCCTGTGGTTCGCCAGCCCAGGAACCATGCAGTGTAGAAAAATCAAATATACAAACAAACCTATAGATAGCTAGGGTGAAATCTATTTTTATAAGAACGTAACACTCTTGACTATTTACATTCGGGAGCATTTTCCTTTGTTTGTTCTATAGTTTAAAGCAAAGAAAGTCCGGTAGCTCTCCCGGTTTTGCTGCAGGAGCATCCGCTGCCCTCTTTATGCAGTTTTGGTTTTTCTTTTCTCTAAGCCATAAATTCTTTAACAGGATCGATGAGTTTGCAAGGTTACGCAATTGTTGGACACCCATTCTCCTTTAGGATGAAAGCCCTCCCCCTCCCCCCGGCGAGTTCCCCCATGAGGAGTCGGCTTCCTCATTAGTTTGTTATTCTCTCCAGGTAAATGGCCGGTGCGGCCGACCTGGCGATGGTAGCGATGAAGCTGTGGTCCCTCCCGAGCTCCAGGCTGGGTTCGTCCTGCTCTGGAGACATAGTGTCATAGCCCTTGTTGACGTGCAGTGGCTGGTGAGCCTGGCAGTACCCGATCACGGACTGGTCATAGCTGTAATAGGGCAAGGGCTTCACGTGGTGTGGCATCTGGGTAGGGGAAACAGAAAGTAATTATGAAATTACTTTGATTAAAGTATTTATAATTTTAAGTACTTACATATTATATAAGTATTTATAATTACTTTGATTATAAGAATTTAAGATTGTGAAAATGCTTTGGAAAATTAAGACAGCATTCCTCAAGTTTTATTTTTGTTCTCGGTGCTGTTTCAAATACTAATAAATATTGAATTATGGATTGTTATTAATTTATTTTTGTATAGCCCGATTATATGTACATTCAATTTAAAATCATATACAACATTATTTCAGTGCTCTATTATCTATTGTGCTAGCCATTGCCTATCAATCACTATAACAGAAAATTTGCAACAACCCAAATGCCCATAAACAGGGAATTGGAAAGGTGTTATGTACATCCACACATTTGAATGCAGACGTTACGGAGATAAGGTGTGATCTAATATGCCAAGATATATTAAGTGGTAAAAGATTGGGTGCAATAAACTGGAGACTGGATAAAGAAGATGTAGTTTTTCTATAAAATGGAGTACCACTTAGCCATGAAGAATGGGAAACTAGAGTCATTTATAGGAAAATAGATGTATGTACATTGAGGCCATACTCTTCAGTGAAATGAATAGGACACACGTGTAAATACCAAATAGTTTCTGAGGTGTGAAAAGTTAAAAGTGTAAATAAGGTACAAACTGTACAGTTGACAATGTGAAATAGTAAGGAAGAAAAGGGCTAAAGGAGTAGGGGAAGTGGGAAGGGTAGGGGAAAGGAAAGAAGAAAAAAATGAGAAAAGGAAACAAAGGGAAACAAAGTCTTTGTAAATAGGGAAGGGGGAGGGGTGAAGGGAGGACAGGGGAATGGGAAAAAACAAGAACCAAGGTACATCATGTGAAGGTACAAGATTCCAATGATGAATGTAACTGTACTATATACCTAAAATGTACCAATAAACCCAATGGCGGGGATAAAGATTGGACACAAGAGAATGCATAGCATGGTCCATTTTGAAAAAGTATGAAATAGGTATATTTTATCTGTAAATATAAATATATATGTTACAACATGTTTATTTTTCATTTGTACTTTTCCTGCATTCCAAATCTTTATTATGGGCACATACAACTTTTGCTTAAAATTTAAGACATAATCCTATAGATTTTTAACAGTTAATCATTTACAAATATAAAATCTTTATAACCAAGGGAGATATTACACAATGTATTTCTTTTTGATTTAACAAGCTAAATATGTCTGACGTTAGTGTAATTGACCCAAATGATGGCCTACAGAATTTTTTAAATAGGAAAATGTGAAAATATTATAGTGCTTTTGTTTTTTGTGCTGCTTTTTATTAAATCACAAATTCCTGAAAATGTATCTCAAAATTAGAAAAAAGGAACATGGTGATGCTTAAGTGCTTTTTTGTTTGTTTTCTGTTTTGCTAACAATTTTCATGATCTGTCCACTCGGTTTAAAACGTAAAATGTCAATGCTCAATATGAACTCATGCCTAGAACCGTAGAGAATCTTTTAGTCTTTTTCTCATTCTTGCTTTTTCACTCCAATTCTGAAATAATTCGTGTTAACACTAAGTCATTTTCTCAGACTTACATTTTTCTAAGCCTGAAAAAACTGGAAGAGCTGGTATCAAAACTGTAGCCCTTCAGAATGGTCTTCATGGAATTTAACAAATCTTTGAGGCGCGATGAAAGCAAAACCAGCCTTATGCTGAAAGAAGAGTTGGGGAGACAGGCTCTCGAGTAGTTAGTATATGTGGCTGCCAAGGAAGGCAAGCAGGGACTCTGTCCAGGGAAAGATGCAAGTGGGAGCTTGTCAGAGCTGCTATGCATTGAAAATGTAGTTTGTGTCAATTATTGAGCAAAGGCTTTTCTGGATGCTTCTTGTTTTGTGGTGTTTTTTTGGGGGGTGGGTATTGGCTATACAGAATGGTGGTATTTTGGGAAATTGGTATGCATCTTGATCATTTTCAATCCCTTTGCCCTCCTCTCTCTTATTTGTCTTATCCCTCTGATCTTATCCATTTCCAAGTCTGCCTTCTTGTTTCTTACCATATTTCCTTCATTTTCATTGACTCGTTTATTTGTATTTTAGATTTCTCCTATAAGAGAAACCATGTGATATTGTACTCTTGTTTGATTTGTTTATTTTTCCTAATTCTTGATCCCATGTTAGAACATTTTTTGTAACCCGATAAAATGTAGATTAAGAATCTACAAACAATAAAATTGCAAAACTTTCATTGCTCTGTAAAGTTAGAATTTGTGGCAGTTTTAAAACTATTGTTTCTCACCCCCAGCTCCACTTTTTGTTATTGGCTTTGTAATACTTGGGCAGCAGCTCTGAGAACTGCATTTCTGTTTTCCTGCACCTTCTTCAGACTTTGTCAGTTGAAGGGAATAGCAAAGCTTAGAGCAGCGAGAGGAAATTATTTCCATTATGGACTTTCTCTCTATTTCTTCCTGTTGCAAGATTTCACCCCAACAATTCTTCATTTCAGCTTATCAATTTGTGCCCATAGCAACAAGTGATATAGTCTTTGTAACATTTGAAGCAAATGGAACATTTTATATCATCACACCTGTCTTTTCCACACCAGCACTAACAACACAGAACTCAGTTTCCTCTTCACCAAGCTGCTTTTCCAAACTTTCTAGTGATTCTAGAAAATTCTTTTTGTTTTTTTAGGCCTGCATGTAGGAGTGTTAGCTACTTCCTAAAGCTGCCTCTGTGATACCCTGGAACTACCTTAGACTTTTAATTAATTAATACTTCTAACAATTATTCATAAAGTGTATTTAGATGCATGGCCAATCTCTTGAGTGGACTATCTCTTATTTTTCTATAGTGAATCTGCAGAAATTAAATTGTTTTAGCTTATAATGTACAGCTGTTGAACGTGAGAGACTGTTACTTCATTTTTCAGATGGAGTTAACCAGTATTAAATCTAATTTGGCAACTTTATTTTCAGAAGTCATTCCTCCATTACTACACAGATAGTCTCTCAAATTTGCTCCAGTGTTTCTTTACTGGTATCCTCATTAACATGAAGAAGATAATTTTGACACAAGTTCATTTTTTACCTGAAAATTATATTTTAACACCTCTGTTTAATAAAAGAAAAGTCAGTGCCTCACATTTTTTAAAGATCTAGATTAAAGCAATTTTTTATGAAGGATCAAAACTCATTAGTAGGTTAGAAAACTAATTTAGGGAATCCAGATATGGATTATAGAAATTAACAAGAATCTAAAGTATCAGAGTATAAAGTAAGGGAAGGTAGATACCTAAGTTTTCTTTTGAATTTATGTGCATCATTTCAGGGTGTATACTGGTGATACTGTGAATTAAGAAAAATTAGAATTCACAGTAAAATATATTTTTGAAAAATAATTGATCAAAGCATTTATTCAGGTCACAATTTGAGTGATTGTCAAAAGTCTGGATAAATTATCATCCCATTTATATTATTCTTTTTATTCTTAACTCATACAATTCATTGTTTCCATGATGAGTTGGAAATTTAAATTAATATTTAACTTTCAGTGATGAGGCACATCTACTTCAATGAAAAATAAAAGCTATTTTAGCAACTGTTTTAAAATAGTAGAGGGTTAGTTAATTGTAATAGAATTACTAATCAAGTAAATGGTTGGTATAATTTTGGATATATAAATTTATTTTCAAAAAAGAGATAAATATGAATACATACTAGGTCAAAGTTGCAGCTTATATAGAAGAGTTTGAGATATTAAACAATAATTTTTGTGCTGAAGATGAGATCAAGGAATTGGTTATAAGGTAGTATAGGGCCAAGTTAGTAGGTACTAAGTATAAAGTTAATTTTCCTCACTCCAAACCTATGGATTTGTTTGGCTTTTATTATTTGTTATTTATTTTTACCACCTTACAAATCAAGGTCCAGCTATTAACTGTCTTTTTAAACAAGCTCTATTTTGACAAATGTCGTAGGATTTTCAAGCCTGTCAAACAGAAGAAAATATGTGTGATTTGTGTCATGAGTCACCACGGACTCTCAAAAAGCAGAGAAACGGATACAGACACTTCAATCTGTCTTTCTGGCAGGAAGAAGACCAACCTACAAGTAACACAATTCATTCTTAATTTTTGGTTGTTAACAGATGGAGGAGCATAACTTGTAAACAGCAAAAATAATTCACCAAATTATTCCCAAACATTTACTGGATATCAGATATTTGTTGCTAACTTTCACTTAAAAGAATGACTCATTTTCTCCAAAATAACCAACTTACTAAAAGGCATTAAAATCAACAGTAAGAATGTATGGTGGTTCTGTCAAACTCTGATAGCACTGTGAATGTTTTTTCCTCAGTTTTTGCAACAAATAGCAAGTGGGATGCACAAATATGCTTAAGAATTGAATATGAGAAGGGGTCAAAATCTTACAAATTCTTCTATACAATCAGGCCAATGTAAAGGTGAAAACCCACACCACATCTTGAACGTTGTTGAAACTTCAATGTTTACTTCAAGCCCTTATTCAAAACATAAAGAAACAGTTACATAACTAAGAAATTATAATATTTGTCTTCAAGTTAAAGAGACTCAAAAGTCAAAGGAAGTACATTCATACAGAGCTTTAGGTTTATGTTTCAGCATTTGTGAACTCAGAAAATTTATCTTACTATCACAATTGTACTAGTTTATTAGTTTACTGCAAAAAAAACAAAATCAAAACCCACAAAGACTCATGCCATTCATATTGCATTTGAGACAGGCTTAGAACCTCTTGCACTATAGAAACCATTGTAAATTATGTAAATCATTTGTAGCCTGTAAAACTGACCAATTGCAAAAAATGTAAAACCAAGTGAACTGGAATGCTTTGAAAGCATACATGCAATGTTTGCTCATTTACTCTTCAAGTCTATTCTATAGGGCACTATGTAATCAACTGAATTTGTGGTTTCTGATCAGCTAAGAGACTAAGGTCTTGTACTTTATAGTA